AAGAGTGTGGTCATCAAGTTTAACAAAATGGTCCATACATTCAGGTAGTAGAAGATGTAAACCTTGTGCCCTGCATCAAATTAAAGCAGCTGATATGCTTTTGCCCAAATAGAATTGTATATCCTCATTTCCTTCCCTTCTTTTCTCCACTGTGACTCAAGCCAGATTTCATCAAGCTATTTTTATAATTACTAAAATGTTGGAAATACAGCAGCAGGCCAGAAAGAAAGTAAAATGCAGCATCCAGCAAAAAAAGGAAAATCACGCTGAGTAACTGAAAGGCCATCTGCTACTAACTGAGCTGTAGGGTGAGGAAGGCAATCTGGGCTGTCCTATTTGTGTCTTCCCCCAAACCCAACCCACCTGCATGTTGTCAGTGGCATCCCCAAGCAGTCCTCCAAACGTGATCGCATTAGTTACAGTCGCCAGATAAATGAAGAGAATTGCTGATAGAGCCTGAATATTTAAAGCGTCATAAAAATCACTGGCAAAAAATGGTGCTTTCCTCTTTATGTCCTTAATTAGTCCACCACAGAACCTGGGTGAGGAGAGAGCAAACATGTGACGATGTAACATAAATTACCATCAAATTAAGCAAGAGATAACTTATTAAACCACAAAGAATGTGTACTTAACGTGTGCTTGAAGGAACAAGGTACTATTTAATCACTTAAGATAAAACCAGAAAACTGTGGCAGAATGCGTATTCTTCTATCTTCCCCTGTTTCAGTCACCAAATTAGGTGTCACATTCCCTGAAGACCAAACAGTTGGTCTTTATATGAGAGTGAATTATTGAGCTAAATTAAAACTTCTCACCATCCGAAGAAAATCATCCAAACATGCGAGCAGATCATACAAGAACCTTTATAATCTTGCCATGGCTTCCTTTCCAGCCTCATTCATTCATTCATTCATTCATTCATTCTTCATTCCATAAATGCTTATTGAGCATCTGTGATATACCCAGAACTAATCCTGGTGCTGGAAATATAAAAGTGAATGATACGAAAAAGAAAAGAAAATAGCCACTCTCATAAAGTTTACTTTCTGTATGGAGGAGACAAAATATGTAAAATGCATGGCACTAAAAATCAAGAAAGAAATTAAGTGGGGAACAGGATTATTAGATGAGAGAGGAGCAGTGGTTGACATATGATTGTGGCCAGAAGGGGTCTCCCGATAAGGTGACTTTGGAGTAAGAATCTGAAGATGTTTCAGATTCAAGGAAGCCATGCAGGTATGTGGTAGAACAGCATGGTATGTGGTAGAATAGCATTGCCTGCTGACTCCCACAGCAAATGTTAGCAGGTCAGCTGACTTATCCATCAGTCAACTCACCCTCCCAGCCAACTCTCACATCTCAGTATGAACAGGGCGAGGCAAACTGCAGACACTGGGTGCATTTAGCAAAGGTGAAATACGGAAGAATGACATCTGTAGTGTTTTTTAAAAGACATATTTTCATAAAATGAGTACCCAACTTGAAATTTTACTTAACCCAAAATGAAATGGAGAACCTAGCAGTGGAGGAGGGAGAATTGTCATGAAAAGAGATTTAGCCAAAGCAATCTGGGAAACCCGATTCTCCAAATGCCCTCTCTGGAAAACAGGACCTGTGAGTCACTCATGTATTTCTATAACATGTTACCCACTTTTGAGTAAGTGTACAGGGAAGAGATGGAATCATGAAAGCCACATGTGTAAGACTGACACATTATGCATTCTTCCTGCCGTACACTCTACCCAGAACCTCTCTTTTTTGTCTCTCACACCCCCTCCCTCACTCCACTCCAGTCACACCAGCGACAGCACCCGCCTAGCACATACCAGGTGCTCTACTGTCCCCTCTTCCAACCCCACGTCTACATGGTCTATCTCCCACCTCCCTCAGGACTTTCCTCAAATGCTACAATTCTCTTTAAGGCGCTTGCTGGCCACCCTATCTAAAATACCTTTCTCACAAGGCAAACTCCCCCCACTTCTCCTTTGATTCCCCACATAAAAGCATCACCACATCCCTTGATTTGCTCACTGTCTGTCTCCACCACTACAAAGTAAGACCCATAAGGATAAGGAGTTTTGTTCAGTTCACTGCTGCATCCCCAGAGGCTGTGACTGTTAGGTAACTATAAATATTTGTTGGCTGAATGAATGTGCAGTGAATAAAATGCTCATAGAAAGATGAAGGGAAATTTAGATCCAAGGAGAACCTCACTGTGAATGACAAAAGAACCCTTCAATTACCGTCCAGTTTTCTTCAATTCTTCACTGTCCCCATGTCCTCCTCCTCCTCCATGGCCGCCATCATGGGGAGTGTCCCCATTCATCTGAACATTCTCTCCACCCGAGTACATGTTCTTTCTAAGACAACAGAGCCCAAGGGAATATTAGTTTATTGTACTTATCTGCACCAGCTAAAGAAGAGATGAGCTGAAAACCCTTTGGGAGAATGATCCTTATTTCCTTCTACCATCCTCACAGACAGTTCTGAAAGTGTTATATTTAGAGCCAACACAAATGACTGGAGGAATAGAAAAGTTGAACAAATTGTATATTGGATAAGAGGGAAACCATTTCACTTGGAAAGTAACAGGTTTCCAGAAAATGGCTTCTCCTCAATCATCTCACCCAATTTCTTAACCTCTTATATCTACAGAATGTCATTTTGAGTAAGCTAATCTTCCCATATGCACAAGGAGTTCCCAGAACACCCCCAAAGAGGCTCTGTGATATATTCCAATATCATAATATATCTCTACTTTGTTTTGTTTTTTGTTTGTTTTAATTTTTATTAAGTTATTATATATGTGTCCTTATCCCCAAATTACCCTCCAACCCCCCACTCATGCCCTCACCCCCCTGTAGTCTGTGTCCATTGGTTAGGCCTATAAGCTTGCATATAAGTTCTTTGGTTGATCTTTCCCCCTGACCCCCACCCTCCCCTACCTTCCCTCTGAGGTTTGACAGTCTGATCAATGCTTCTCTGTCCATAGGGGTGCATATATCCTTTCTGATTGGTGTTTCTGGTTTATTGGGATATAGTCGTAGAAGTGGGATCACTGAGTCAAATGGGAGTTCCATTTTTAGTTTTTTGATGAAACTCCATACTGTTCTACTTTGTAATCACCAAAGAACATCACAACATATAACATTCATTTTACAATGTCAATGAAATGTCAAACCAAGGCACGTACGGGATTCATTTGAAAGGACATAATACATCAAGTTAAATGGGAACCTAAAAATATTAGGGCAGTAGCCTGACTCCATTTCCTTTGCCAAACATAATCTCTTTCTCAAAGCTTAACACCCCCAATTGCTTGATAATTTACCTTTTGTCGGATGATGGAAGAGTCTTAGGAGGCTCTATCCTGATCGTTGGATCCCATTCCCCAGGGGGAAGGACAATGACTTCATCTAGGAACTCATCAATGCCAGCAATCAGGTCCTGCCTGTCTTTTGCTTTATAAGCAATGTCATGGAACACCTGAAGAAGAAGAAGAAGAGGTACGCTGATCCAACAACTCTCCACATGCTTCACATGCCCAGCATAAAGAATATAACCCATAACCCACTTTAATATTACTATAACCACACTCTCACATTTCCTGTTATTCAGCTTGCCCCAAAATATTTCAGTAATAAACCCAAAGAATATAGGGAGAGGCATGAGAAACAAATGGCTGTCTCTTTTATATGTTTTTTTTTCTATCAATACTGTAAAATAACATTGCCTATTTTCTCCCACTGGTATGTACCATTATTGATATAGTTGCTATGGAAACCAAATGAAAATGATTTGGAGAAATACACTGAAGAGTCATTCCCTGAAATAAACACTACCGGGACAAACCAATGCTGATAATTCAAGAAGGAAAAGATCGAACTGAGTATTAAGATCAGGTTAAGAGCAAAACACTTCAGCTTTCAAACACAAAAATAATGTTAGCTATTTTTAAAAAAAGAAATTCTAAGCTATATTGGCAACACCTAAACCAAAGGATTTTAAGTGTAGGCAATCATCTGTCTAGCTATGAAAGACTTAGGATATGTGTAAGGGACTTTAGGATCATCAGCTAGGTGAGAAGAATGGAACTGGCAAAAAGAATTATGTACATTCTGGAATGCAGAGAGTGTCTATATGCTTATGCAGTTATTGAGGCAACAACTAAACCATCCAAGGCAGCAAATGCTCCATGTCTTTTATGCAAATACCCAAAGAAAGAGCTTGTTGAATGTACATCATTTAATTAGAAGGGTGTAGGTTGTCAGCCTTCTTTATAATGAGCTTCATGGCAAATAAGCTGACATCCACAGTTTTCAAAATGTAAATTTCATATTGGGATAAATATATTTTCCTTTATTTTATAAACATTTTTCATTATTTGTGTGTGTGTATTGTATTTATTTTTACTGATTTTGGAGCAGGGAATGAGGAGAGAAAGAAACATCAATGTGAGAGAGAAACATCGATCAGTTGCCTCCGCCTGACTGTGGATCAAACCCACAACCTGGGTATGTGCCCTGATCAGGAAGTGAACCCACCACGTTTTGGTGTACAGAACGATGCTGCAACCAATTGAGCCACCTGTCCAGGGCACATTTTCCATTCTTAAAACTGGTGTAGGTTAAGTATTTTTTAAGAAGTTCAAGTCACTGTATTAACTTACAGTGACAGCCAAATCACAGAATGAAAACACACAAGTAAGACTTTCGCAGATCATCATCTTCCCGATTTCCTACCTCGTCAGACATCAAGGTGGCAATGGCTCTGCCAATCTCATGGTAGGACTTGCCTTTCCCCTTAGGACCTAGGAGAATGAATAAGAACCTAATGGAAGAGGAAAGAAGCAAAGGCTATAACACACATATCATCAAACTCAAAATACATAAAACTGAGACACGTTTATCCTCGCTCATGAAAAGGTTAGGTCTACAACTCATCTTTAAACAAATGTAATATTCTTGGCATATGACAGACACTCTTTTCAACTACAGTGAAACAAAACTCACTGTTTAGTTTCTTTGGAGGCAATGGAGAATTTAGCATGGAAACCTGAGAAGCTTCTTCGTTGACAAGGAAAGGTTCCATTTTTTGTCATTCAATCTTTCTCTTCTAAACTTTCTTTTCTCTCCACTTCTACTGAATTGCAGAATTGTTAGTGAAAACCATTAAACACAATAACTAGAAAGACACAGTACATCTTCTGGTTTCTCTGACTTTCCCTTACCCAATTTGGGCAATGACATATGACCTTCTCCAGGCTTCAGAAATGTTTCTACTCAGAAGTGACAATTCTTTTACAAGTAAGCCACATGCTGACAGTAAAGAAAGAGAACTATGGGGAAAAAAGAAAAAGAAAGCAGCATTCACAGTGAAGGTTTTGTGTGAGGTGTGCTGTGTGTTTTTTGGTGGTTAACCTCATTTTCCTTTCCAAACTTCTTTTCTTGATAATGCACAAGCATTGCTCCACAGTGAGTAGGTCCTGAAACTTGCAATAATAAGCTTATCCCCATTTAGGTTCACTTCTTATCATGGTGGGAAAAATCCCTCATTGATGACAAGAGCAAAGCTATATGTTTTGACTAGGGAGGAGGAACCTGATATGTAAATGAATGAAAAATATATACTAAAGGCAACATCAGATACATCTCTGTCTTGTTTATGATCATGTCTTACCCAACACAGAAATAATGAGGACAATTAAAATGATCACATCATATATTTGCACAGCTTTTTAAAGTTTGCAAAGCACTTCACATTCATCGCCTCATTTAAATTCCATACAACCCTTTGCAATAAGAACAGGTATCCTAGTCCTGTTTAATGGTGAAGAAACCCAGGCTCAAGAAAGTAAATGGATGAGCCCAAAGACTGTGCCTGGTATATGAGAGAGAGCAGACAGGCCGTCCAACCTTTTGTTATTTTCAGCACACAATTCTGCCTAATATTACCTGCCCAACCTATACACCAGGGTTATGATTCCGTAGAGAAAGGCTATTCAACAATGACTCTCATAGATCACTCTGGGGAAAGGTGCTGTGGATATTTAGCTGGGAGCAAGGAATCTTAGGTAAAACTTTAGGGGACCAGGAATGGCTGAGGATTTGGCTTAGTTAAATTTTATTTTTTACTTATTTATTTATATACCTCACTTTAAATAAAAAGGGATTGACAGCAAGTACTCTTGAATGTGTTAGGGTTTATTTCAAACTGTCCTTGAAGAGGCAATTCCCCTTTTTCATTATAAAATTCAATCCAAAGAAGAAAAAAAAACAGAAATAAAGAATGTAAAAGTATCTGTAAGTATGAATACTCAGAGTTTATCTCAGAATAACCATAAAGTCATTCAGCACTTATGTGTTTAGCAACCAGTTCTGTAGTCAGGCAGCATGCTCACGTTCTTATTTATTTATTTATTTTAATTTTTTTATGTTGATCATTATATCCCACATATGACTGAGATCATGTGATATTTATCTTTCTCCCACTGGCTTATTTCACTTAGCATAATGCTCTCCAGTTCCATCCATGCTGTTGCAAATGGTAAGAGTTCCCTCTTTTTTATAGTGGCGTAGTATTCCCTTGTGTAGATGTGGATGAGTGACATGCTCACTTTCAAGTGTTATCATAGTGGATGCAAGAGCCACAGCAATCAGCAGTCACAAAAGTCTGTGCAAGTATGAAGGAAGCCATTACTAGAATTGGATTTTAGTTCTTCTAACACTGAAGTTCAATTGAGACTAGAACTTTTCTTTCTTTGAAGCTGGGCTTACCTTATATACCCCTACATACAGTATTATACAGTGTTCCTTTATGACAGTGACATTTATTTTTCTAAAGGGACTGATCACTGATTTGAGTGCAACACATGCAGAAAATATTTAACCACTGAGGCAAAATACAAATACAAATTAAGAAGCACCTATAGCACTGGTCACATTTGCCAACTGTATTCCCCTACCAATGGCCAGCTATAAGGCAGGACCATCAGGGCATAGTTTTAGGCAAAAGGGGACAGGTGCACTGTAACAGGAGAAAATGGACATCTGAATCTTCTACTTGATATATTTTTAAATAATGTCTTTTTCCTTGCCATTTTTTATTATTTCCATGTATCTAAATACTAGTTTTTCAGTAATTCATAATATCTTTAACTTTTCCAGAATCACTCTGAACCTCTTTTTGCCTCTCCCTAGCATCTCCATTATGATTATAGTTTACAAATACACATTGTGGAAATACACATTTATCAACTGACACAGGAGTTTTCAGGTTGACTATATGGCAACATCATCTGTATATTGTATTGTATTAACCACCCACAGTCAAGTCCCCTTCCATCACCATTTATCCCCCTTTTTTTACTCTCTTCTACCTCCCCTAGCCCCCATTCCCTCTAGTAATCACCAAACTATTGTCTGTGCCTATGAGGTTTGTTGTTTTTCTTAATCCCTTCCCTTTTTCACCCAGCCCCCAACACAATTCCCCTCTGACAGCTGTCGACATGTTTTCTGTATCTATGAATTGGTTTCTATTTTGTTAGTTTATTTTGTTCATTACATATAAGTGAAATCATACAGTATTTATTTTTTTCCTGACTGGCTATTTTATTTAGCATATACTCTCCAGGTCCAGCCATGCTGTCACAAAAGGTAAGATTTCCTTCTTTTTTATGGCTGAGTAGTATTCCATTGTGTAGATATACCACAGCCTTTTAATCCACTCATCTACTGAGAGAGGACTTGGGCTGCTTCCAACTCTTGGCTGTTGTAAATGCTGCAATGAATACAGGGGTGCAAATGTTCTTTCGATTTAGTGCTTCAGGTTTCTTATAATTATTTACTCTAGTCTCTACTAAATAGCACCAAAGAATAAATGGAAGTAGCAGACCAATGGTGAATATAATATGTACCATAGCAAAATCCAATATCTGAGTATTATAATGTTTTAATAAAATCAGTAAATTATATATAAAGGTACAATTCCTCTTTCTTAGACAATATTTTATATAACTTACATATATGTGTGTGTGTGTATATATATCTATCTATATCTATATATCTATCTATATATCTACCTATATATCTAGATATAGGTAGATATATAGATAGATA